AAATATGAATAAGAAAAAATGAAATTCAAATAAGAATTTTGGACAGTGGGCTGAAGTTGATTTTTTAACCGATGAGGAAATAATTGAAGACAGTTACGCTGATGCTATGGGAAGAGGCTGGGACTTTTCAGATCCTAGTTTGAGGTTGATATACTCTTTAAATCTTTTGAGTGCATAAAAAATGGGTTTGTCAGGTTTTCAAACGCTCAATTCAAAGTTTTGATGAACACTTGGAAAACAGCTCAAATATTCAAGCTTTTATCTAGTTTGAGGTTGATATACTCTTTAAATCTTTTGAGTGCATAAAAAATGGGTTTGTCAGGTTTTCAAACGCTCAATTCAAAGTTTTGATGAACACTTGGAAAACAGCTCAAATATTCAAGCTTTTAAAAACAAAAAACACGCAAAAAAGGAACCTCACGCATAAAAAAAGACGATTATTCCAAATCCAGACTTGAATTCATCGCTCAACACTCAAATTTTGCATCAACGAAATAAATAAATATTAATCCATCGAACACAATGTGTAGCTATTTCTCAATTTGATCAAATACAGTAAGTTGACGAATCTTCACACCTACAATATCACTAACTTAAAAATTTAAATCAACACGTGCAGAAAAAATTATGCTTGAAGAGACACTGATTATTTCATTCCATCAACAATTAATAAAAAAATTACAAAGATAAATTCACAACAGATTTAAAAAAAAACGCTGCTCAAGCTTCACGCATCCACCCCACCCCCCTCCCAGAAGAATTAGTCAATTTTTGTCAATTTGAAAAAAGTGCTGAAAATTTCCAAGTTACCCAAGGAACCCCGTACTGCATGGAATGACGCAAGAGCCTCGAGCTAAGTTTGGAAGATAAATACGCCTCAACAAAATAAAATAAAAGCGCAGAAACGTGCTTCGAGAAACAAAAAGGTATTGCATATAGAAAAATAAAAACAGAGAGGAGAAAATAGTAGAAAAGGAAGAGCAGTGGGTTGCAGAGCTCGAAAAAGGACGACCACGACTGCGACACGCCTCCCGGGAGCTGAGGTCATCGGAATGCAATCGAGGGTAAAATACTTTGGATCTTCTTTATATTTCATTGGGCACCATGCAGAAAGGGGTCCTTTCAAAAGTTATACAACTTGACCCAGGAGCAGTAACGAAGGGGAAATATAATATAATCCGCGAAATAACATTGACCTGGAAATTTACATTACAGTACCAGTGGGACCCCAAAATTCTTGTACAGACACCCTGACATTTGGACAATTCAAATTGAGGAAATTTGAAACATTACAGAATTTGTGAGTTTTAGGTCTGTTGTAGAGTTGTATGTCTGTAAAAAGGTTGTTGAGATCTTTTACATTTTTTTTTATAAAAACTTGTAAATCCGTAGAGAACTTGTTTAGTTCGGTGAATATTACATCTTTAATAATAAATGAATTCAAATTTTTAATAAAACAGGTCAACTTTGCCCGTAGATAGTGTATCTCTGATGTAATTGGTGCAACAAGAGTGTCCCTAAGTTGAATTATCCCCAAGTCAAGTCTTGTTTACCGATAGACTTACAATATATAATTTTTAATTTGAGTTTTATGTAAGAAATATTCTGCAGAATTCCATGAAAAAATTGTTTGCCACTTGAATTTGATTCAGTGAATACGTTTTCAAGTCAATAAGAACATTTGGAGCGTTGAATAGTGTATCTCTGTACTGTACATCCAAATGTTGGCATCTACAAAAATAACATTCAAGTCACAAAGAGAGAAGGAAGTCCCTCTATGCACCAGGTAATTCTTTTTAATTAGCTGAATGTATGGGAAAATGATGGAAGAAACAACAAAGAATTTTTCTTGCATAAATCTCAGGGTTGGAAATGTCTGTTTCTTCCAATCAAGCCTAATGAAAGTCAATTTTTGAGAAATTTATTGGCCATTTTTTCAAGCAATGTCCTCATTTCAAGTCAGTGTCCAAATTTTGTGCCTTTTTCTATGCCCTTTTTATTGAAAAATAAATGTCCCTATGACAAATTGTCCTCATTTTGAGGTGTCTACATGTGGAGGTCTCACTGCATAGCAAGACTTGCACTTTTGGGACACTTTAGATGCCAGAACATTAGATTCTGCACAGTTGTTTATTCCACACAGTTATACTGTACAGTATTATGTATCTTTCTATGAAAATAACATATTTATTCCACTTTTTGGGGGAATTTATTCCCAAGTTTTGATGAACTGGAGAACCAATTGAATGAGTTCCCATAACACATGATCCAACATGCAGACATTCAAATATAAAGAAACAAGGTTCAAGTACCAATTAAATCTATGAAAATTATATAAAAAACATTATTTTCAAGGATTTAAAATTTAAAAGAAGGATAACCCATATTCGGGGTCTCACTGACGAATACTTTTCACAGAAGCCTGATTTCCTTCCTCTGCTGATTTCAAATAACCCTCCCTTCATATAAATCCCGCCCACTCACTCTCAATCCGCCATCCTTCACAAACTCCACTATAACAGGCAGTCATCCTCAGTCAGTGGGGGTCGATAGGGGGATGGCATGAAAGAAAGAAAAAAAAGGGGACGTCCATCCGCCCCCCCTTTCACCCCGAGAACACGGACAGGGCCATTCAAGTGAGCCCCGCCGACGCTCACCGCGGATTACCGGGGGGGCTTCCTCAGCAGTAATGTCGAGCGCGTAGGCGTGCACGGAACTTTTGGGCTAGGGGTAGAAGAATAAAAGAGGAAGAGAAATAAAAATATTTTTATTCAACATCAGGAATACAGAACATATCACACAGAGGAACGGAGAGAAAGAAAAAAGAAGAAGAAATACTGGAATAACACACAAGGAAAAGAAAAAAATTTTTCTCCTTCTCTTTATTTTTTATTTTTATTCAACATCAGGAATACAGAACATATCACACAGAGGAACGGAGAGAAAGAAAAAAGAAGAAGAAATACTGGAATAACACACAAGGAAAAGAAAAAAAAAGAAACGAATGAAAATAAACGAGAGGGACACACACAGAAAGCATTGAGGCGTGAGCGTAACTTGGTCTCATTTTATTTACATTCCTTCCTCTCTTTCACTCACTCTCACTCTCTCTCTCTCCCTGTAGAGGGTGTCCAAAAAAATTTAAATCACAGTTGGTTAAATGAGGATGAAACCTCATCACAGTAACGTTGATGCTCTTTTTTGCCAAGTTTTTAAGGAATATGTACAGATGTCTCTCAAGAAAAGGTGTCTTCATTACTGTCAATCACAGAAATGCACAAAAGCAATATGGCCCTTTGAGTGGAATGACATAATGGCCATAATGAATTGAGCAAATAAAAGCACAATCAGATGTTATTTTTCAATGCATATAAAGTAATTTGTAAAAAAAAACATGGTACAGTAACTAAATGTGGAATGGTTCATGAAACTACTCAAAATGAATTGAATGAACTCGGAGTAACTGAAGAAGGTATTTTAGTTTTTAAAAATATTGATTTTTTCCTGCTTGTATATATTTGTGAGCATGTGCTACATGAATTATTACATTATTACAATTGAATCTTACAAAAAATATCCTCTCATGATAGCAATCATCTTGATACAATAAAACCATATTGAATAAGTACAATACATTTCAAGCCTTCAGTGGCAGAGAGCCTTTTTTCAGGCTAGTGCATTTTGGTTTGTTATCCCTGGAAACATAGTAGATGTACATGTATCTCCTTTAATTGAGGTTTGGAAATGATCAACTAATAAAGTCTTTGCCAGACAAAAATAGTCTTTATTCAAATAAGCAGTATACACAACAGTGTAATCAATTAACCACAAGACACAGGGATCTGATGACTTCTGAACTAACTGTCTCCTGAGCTAAAATGCCTATCTTCCTTAATCCTACCAGGGGTTTATATACCATGGATTTGGGGGTAAAACCAGGAAGGGGAAGGACACCTGTGTGCGCATGTGTAGGGGTTGTTTTACAACTTCCATGCACTGGGGGTTACTGCACAGTTAGGGGGTTGCCACGCGCCGGGGTTGCTATGTGCGCGTTGTTGGGGATACACGTGTTGGTCAGTACGCATGTACCGGGATGGAAGAATATTAATATATTATTTATATTAATCTATTATCTCTTCCTGGTGTTATGAATAACACCAAGTTTCTATATTTGCATTAATGCAAATATTCTTGCAATATATATCGGGGAATTACATCACATAATTTCCAACAATAACAGGTTCCACCAAAGCAGAATGGCACATGCTGAGATAATCCCAAGTAGACAAAATTGGGAATGTCCAGGAGACCCCCAATTTAATCCTATGGCTGGAGGTTGAAAATCCAAAACATTGAAAAAGCTTTTCTTGTGGCTCTCCAAAATTTTTTCTGCGCACAGAGATATAAAATCTACAAATACTGTGCAGGTAAACTGGGTAATTTGGGAATCAGTCCTGTTTTGGCAGTCTCACACAAAAGACATCAAAAAATCATCCTTATGCTGATTGTTTTGTTAAATTTTATTCTTTGTCAAATAAATCAACCTTACACTAGGGTGTAAAGCACCCCAACCACAGTATATTTTATTTTCTAAAAAAAAGTGTTATGAATATTCTTATCTCAACACCCTTCACACATGCTCCACTCTGTGTAAAACCAAACGTGCTCTGTGATTCCTCGCTGTTTATATACATCTCCAGCGTCCCGATTCACTTCACCCACTGTTTTTGTTTCTCCCTTTCTTCTGCTCTTTAGTGTTTCTCGTCTCTTCCCAAATGTTTTTTTTGTTTTTGTTTTGTTTTGTTTTTGTGACTGGGTCTCTGTTCTGCGGCACTGCGGGGATTGTTGAAACAAACACCGGCGTTTTTCCCAAAGCGGTCGGAATCACTCAGCAGGTGCGCGAGTGACTCGACTTCCAAGTTGCCCTTTCCAACAGATTCGACAGGTCGATCCTTCAACGACGAGTCACTTTGAATTTTAGAGAAGGACGGGAGAAAAAATTAGCAGAGGCGGAACTGCTAAAAAAAAAGAAAAAGAAAAAAGGTTTTACGCAGGGGAAGCGAAGATGCACCAAAGGGGGGATGGTTTGTTGAAAGTGAAACAATGGATTCTAGCATAACGAAACGAATTCAATTCCATCATGATTTTATTTTATTTTTCAATAAAAATCTTCATGAAGTTCGAATTATTGAAAAAGTTTTAACCCCACTCTAAACGGCGACAAAACATCAATACCAGACACCGAAACCCGTGGATTTCAGCAAAAAAGCATTAAACAATTTTTGGTTAGTATTTCTGTTTAAAGAAAAGATTAATCCGAACAATTTTAAGCTTTCCAGTTTAAGAAATTACTCATTTCTGGGACCAGGAAAGGTAAAAATCCCCTCATTCTGCATTACAGTACATTAATTTACAAAAATCTTGGGTTCAAGTTATTGAAACTCGTTCAAATTTCTGAATTGTTCCCAGAAAATTTCATGAGTTTTTTCCGTCCACACCATTTTCTAAAAAGGATTCACAAAAGAACCAATCATGTTCAATACGCAAATCTTTGGTGGTACAATATTTCACCATGTGAGTGATGAATTATGGAATTGTAATCAGAGAAAACTCATGATGATATGGTGAGTCATCAAATTCGTTTTTCCTAAAATAAACTAGAGGTTTGAGAAGGTAATAAATCAGTACAAAATAAAAAACAACAGCATTTAAAAACGTATTACAGTACTGCTGAGTCAAAATCGTTCAAACAATTTTGCATAATTCTTTAATGTCACTGATGCTTAATCGATTACAATAACATTGGAAAATGGAAATCAGCCAATCAATGGATCTTTGTACTGAAAATCTTTAAAATATTTTACAGTATCATTGAATAATCAGGAGATTTCATTTATTCAAAGAAAAAATTAAAACATCAGACAAAACCCCAGAATTGAGCAATATGCAATAATTCCAGTGATATTTCAAAACACACTGCTGAAAAAAATTGCAGCAAAATTTTCTTTTGTAACATTGTAAGGCATTTTTGCCAGGAATCTTGTCAAGAATTTGTTACAAAGAAAATGTTGCCCAGTTTCAGTTTCAAACAAGAACTAAATTTTGTTGTTGTTTCTCTTATTTGGGACGGACGTTGCCTCAATATAAATTAGTGTCAAGCTGGATTCAAAGAGTAAAAGGGCATAAATAAGACAATAATGAGCCCAGGACAGGCTGGAATGCCTTCTTGGAATTTCTGGGTTAAGAGTAAGATATATTTCACAAGGAATAACAACTACTCAGCAAACTCTTGCTTAAACTGAATAACTGGAATAATATCTGATGATGATATTCTTCTCTGCACTTGACTAGCTTAACAATTACCAAGTACCACTCAATACTCAAGCACGTGGTACTTGAGTATTTACTCAAGTACCATGCGGCCTCAAGTAAGGCGCGTACAGGGGTTTTTCAGTTGGAAATTTGCCTAAAATCTTATCCCCAAGTAAGACGTGCACCCCAATTTTTAGTGAATCTAAAACCACAAAATTTTGAAAATAAAGACAAAAAATTTGACTCTAGACATGAATTGAACAAAAATCTTATCAATTTTCAACTTTTTCAGTACAAAAATGTTTTCTTGTTACATTTTTCCTAAGTTCTCCATTATAATCAAGTATAATGCACACATAACTTCCTAAAACTTCTTGAAAAAGTTGTACCGCTTATATGACGCGCACCCCATTTTTTCTTCTGAAATTTGAGAAAAAAGGTGTGTGTGGTATATTTAACCTTCACAAAGTGTTACCATCCCTTCATAATAAAGGTTTATCATTCAAACTTGAGGCAGAGGATTAAACTCAAGAAGATATCAAGGAAAATACATCAGTGATGGCATGCTTGCCCACAACAGTTCTCTCTGACACATGTGAAGGATTAAGCAGAAAATTGGGTTCCACTCCAAGTCCGCCCACGACTTTCAATTTAGCGCCCGATTCGACACCGAGACAACTTCATGCGTCGGAATGTCTGACGGAAAACGGACATCATTCCGACCGGAAGTCAGATTGATTAATTCATTTCCGCCCAACAGACCCCCACGCAAAACAATCAACCTTCAACTCATCACCAAGCCGAGCTTCCGGTTACAGAAAGACCCCCAACCAAGGCTGCTCCCACATTTCTCCGACCTCATCTGGGAACCTTTCCCTTCCAAAACACTAAAACACCATCATGTTCTCTTTTTTTTCAAGACAAAAAAAGCATAAACAAACAGTAAATAAACAGAATGTATTTCGACCTCGAGTTGGAGTGAGACATCGAGAGAAAAATAAGGTCAGGCGCGAGTTGAAACCTTGCCTATATTTGAACTCTAACTCTGTTTGATAAGGTGTCATGAACTTGGAAAGTGCCCAAAATTATTTAAAAAAAAAGGTATCAATCATGTCTCAACACAGTGAATTTCTACAAAATCCCTGGAAAATCAAATGACACAAAATGCACTGAATATTCAGGATATTACGCATCTCAAAAGAAAAATTTTGAAGGAACAAAATGAACCAGCATCCATCAAGGAATTCCAGTTACAGTGAGAAGATGCGGACATAATTGGTGCATCAAGAGTGTCCCTAAGTCAAAATGTCCCTAAGTTGAGTCTCATTTTCCCTTAGACTTAAATTAATTTTTAATTGGTGTTTTATGCACAAAATACTCACCATGATCCCATGAAAACAAAAATTGTCTTCCAATTTAAACTGATTCCAATCAATATATTTCAACACAATATGGGCATTTGGGGAATTAAATACTGATATCTGTGTACGGTACATCCAAATGTTGGCATTCTCCATAAAAATAATATTCAAGTGAAAAAGAAAGAAGGAAGTCCCTCTCTGCTGATGGAGGGATTTTTTAAATTAGCTAAATAGATGGTAAATTGGTGAGAGAAATGCCAAAGAACTTTTCTTACATCAATTTTAGGGTTGGAAATACAGTATATTTGAGGGCATTGATTGGGAAAAAATCAATTGTTTTTTTGTTTTTTTTAATCTGGAAATGTTTTCCCTCTATACCTCATTTTATGCTTTTCCTTATCCTGCATTTTCTTATTCTGTTTGATCAGGTGTCATAAACATTGGAATTTCCCAAATTAAAATTGCTATCAATCATATCTCAACACTGTAAATTTCCGCAATAATTTAGGATGATCAATAACTTTCAAAAAAAAAAATGCGCTGAATATTCAGGATTATTAAGCCTTTTGGATTTTCGGGAGAAATGTTTGAAGGAACAAAAGAAACCAGCATTGGAGGAATTTCAGTCATTGTCAATAAGGACATTGCTTGAGAAAAAATCGATTTGTTTTACTGAATCTGGATATATTTTCCTTCAACACCGCATTTTACGATTTTCTTTATACCCTGGCATTTTCTTATTCTGTTTGATTCGGTGTCATGAACAATGGAATCGCCTCAAATGAAAAAAGAAAACCTATCGATCTTTAACTTGACAAACTAAGTTGCCACAAAAATGAAGTAGTATCAAGTTGAGCAAATTTGTGCTGAATATTCGGGAAATCACGCGTTTTTATTTAAATCTTAAGAAACGACAGAAACCAGAATTGGACGCTAAATTCAAAATAAATTTCGAGAACATTGCGAAAAATTTATTGGATTCGTTTTACTGAATCTGGAAACTTTTTTTAAAACCCTTGTGACACATTTCTGCCGCGACCTTCGGCAAAAACTGTGACTTGAAAGCAAAAATTGGCGCAACTGCGCGAAATTCACCCAGTCATGAAAACGAAGATTCCGGAAATTAGCCATTCAGTGTGCCATTTTTCACAATGAACTCCGACAGTAATTTCCAATCTGTAGAATATATTTTACACGAGAAGTACGTGAGCAAGTTTCCTGAGAGGACTGGCCGCCATCTTAGACTCAAGTCCTGTTTTTTTTTTGTGCTAATTATTTTGCATTTCATTTTTAATTTACCTTCTCTTGTTTCTTCAAGCTTCGCTCTCAAGTGAACTCGAAGCCAGTCGGTGTGAAGGACGTGTTTCAACGAGTTATCGAACACTTGTGTTTTTTTTCAGAAGTGGGTTCTTGATGGGTGTTGATGTAACCCCTCTTCCCGCACCTTTCTTTTTCTTCTCATTGTTTGCATTTAGAACAAAAAATCAATCATGGAAATAAAATCCGCACGAATTTCGCGGGTATTTTAGTTTCTATGCGACAGGGATTTTGGCAACGAAAAAATTCCGCTTTCCTTCGAAGGGATATATAGTGATGATTTATTTACTCTCCGGGGCTTTTTGCCAAACAAAATCGCGAAGAGTTTGATTTAGGAGAGCTCGACATAAAATCCCGACACTTCAGGAAGCATGTTTTGTTTTTAATGCCGTGAAAATAAGGTATCATCGCTGCCAAAAGTCGGATTTTTTTTTGCCTAGACTTCGCAAAAAGTTGAAGAATATCAGGTGACATTTCACAGGCTGAGAAGGAAATCAGAGGAAAACTTATATTTTGTCTTGGCAACATCCCATTTGAAAATACGAGTCTTTGCGAAAATACTTCGATACAGTACATAATTTACGCAGTTTTTTACGGTGCAAAACTGCGTAAAAGTCATTCCTTCGTTGCCAATTCTTTTCTCGAAGAATTAATCATGCAAAAACTCTACGAGACTTTCGCCTCATTTTATGAATGTTTTTTCAAAAATACTCGATGAGGAAACATTTTGAAATTTGGCGAAACTGCGTCAAGTAAAATAATCATTGGAAAATTTTTTGAAGAGATTTTCACGGTCGTCGTGCTTCTATTCAATCACGCATTGATTTCACGTAAATTCCGCATAATTTCACAACCTTTCTCCACAGAATATCCGAGCATTTCGACTAATAAATATGAACCAAAGACGGATGAAATAGTGACACACAAGTGCATTATATATTTAGATTATTTATAACAAATTTTAAAATTGTTCTTCAAAAGAGAATCGCAGATTACGTCAATGATAATTTCAATGGTTGACACGTTTTTCGAAAATTCTGAACCTTTACTTCTGGCAACACAAAAAGTAGCTTCAAGAAATTTTTTTTTAATCTTGGCATTCTTTTCTTAATAATTCTTAGAACAATGTTCCGCAACCTTTTTGAAACCGAGGACCAGCACATTTTTAAAAACATTTGCTGATGACCGGCAAATTCCTCAGAATTTTTCCGCGGACTCTGGAAAAGTTTCATAAATTTTTTGCAGACTCAAACATAAAAAAAGGAACTGACCTTGTTGCATTTGATGCATCTGGTGGCAAAAGTCTCCTCGTAGCAGCCAGTGCAGTAGATCTCTTGATCCTTTGGGATGAACGACTTGGTCCCGATCGGAGTCTTGCACACGCAACAGCTGAAGCACTTCTCGTGCCATTGCCTGGTCTTGTACTCCATTTTCTTCATCCCTGGTTACAAAATAAAAAAATGCAATGATTGATTAAAATGAGAAAAGCCATTCCAATTTTGACTAATTCTGATGTGTAAAATGATTTTTAAGTGGACTGTAGCCTATTAACTGCCAAATTTCCTACACACCCATTTTTGCCTTATTTCACTTCATTTTACATGCAGATATGCTGAGGAGAATTTTTTAAAAGTTTGAAATCAGAAATTTTCCAAATATTTGAATTTAAACTTGATCCCCCAATGGGGCTCACGGCAGGTACCATCTTCTTTTATACTGATACAAAAAGCCTCATATTGGGCACAAAAGGCCTCAAAATAATTTGATGTGAGTATCTAATATCTAATTGATGAACAATAAAACAAGTTGATCAGTCTGGGACATGACCAGGATTGTTTGGAATTCCTACGTTACAGGGATAAACTATATTTCACACAAGTATAAATGAATAAACGACTCAACAAGCTTGACTTGCAGGAATAAGCTTGAGAATTGAAAAAAAAAATTATTACCATTCTTTTGACTAAATTGTATTATTGTAAGCTAAATGTGAGTGCAAATATATCTTCTGATACATTTGTGATGCTAGAATGCATCCAGGAATGAAATGCATAAATGTTCTTTTATAATTATTCAAACACTTCTGAAAGTTTTTTCTTTGGTAAAAGCTAAAAAACTCTGACCATCATCCAGCCTATTAACAAAGTAAAGATTTTCCTGCTGTTAGATGGAGTTCAAAAGCTTGAAAGCATTTTCAAATTTTTTTTAGAAAAATTGTCTTTAATCCACATACAGGAAAAATTGAAAAATTCAAACAAAAACATTTTTGCATTAAGCAAAAATTAAAAAAAGGCCTCATCCGAAACCGCATTTATTCGAAGCAATAAAAATAATCGTAATAAAACGCTGATTATCATAAACTCCGACGATTCATTTTTCATGACATATCTTTGAAAAATTAGTTTTTAACATCTCTGAGAGGCTGGTTTTTTGTTTTGTTTGAAAAACCGTAATTTTCGCTCAACGACTTCAAATACAAGTGATGCATGTCTATTCACCGTGTCTCAACATCAGTAGATGACATGAAAAATGATACAAATTCACAATATTGTCCATTCCTCGAAGAACAAAATTATTTCAGGATTCAAGTCCTGAAAATTGAGTATAAGAAGTTTCGAACTCAAGGCAGTACTTTTTTGCAAGTGTTTTTGTTGTTGCACAATTTGTCTCCAAATCCAAAATATGAGAGATTTCTAAAAATGATACAAAACTTTTCAGTAATTCTTCAGAAGTTGTACCGTCACAAAAGTTGCCCTCGGGCTTTGCAGCAGTCGATAAACCCAGAAAGGAAGGCGACATTAAATGCAAAAAAAAAATAAATATTTGAAAATTATTCTAAACCGTGAAACGCAAAAATTGACGGATTCTTCGAGGTTATTTTGCATTCTTAATCAAACGAAGGAAAATACCAGAACAGGAGTCTCTATAATTTCGGACAGAAACTCATTATTTCATCAAACGGGGATGAAATTTTAGTTTCCAAGTCAACGTACGACCTCGGAATTCATTTACCAAAATTAGGAAACCAATTTTTTGCCCCATCCANCCAGAACAGGAGTCTCTATAATTTCGGACAGAAACTCATTATTTCATCAAACGGGGATGAAATTTTAGTTTCCAAGTCAACGTACGACCTCGGAATTCATTTACCAAAATTAGGAAACCAATTTTTTGCCCCATCCAATCGTTGCGCAATTCAAGTACACAACTCGGAGGTTTGAATAAAATTTACTGCATTATTCGCATACTTTTCAAGCAAGGTGAAATTTTAGGGGGGGGGGGGGGGGGGAATATACATTTTCAAAACCAAAAAAGAAAAATTACGTATTGATTTCAAATAAGCATGAATGGAATTCTCATTTTCATTGCATGCTGAAACAAATTTCCATTTGAATTCCAATATCCTCAGAATGGTTCCAATCAACCAGCAGAAATTCATGATGACATTGTGACGGAATAATTTGGTACCTTAACATACTGCTATACTTGCACACTGACTGCTGTTGGATGGCAGACATATTAATTGCATACCAGGGATTTTCATCTGTTCATTTCAAGGGTTTTAACAAATCATGAGTGCAAAAGAACAGACTGATACAGATGTGTGTTGCAATTTTGTGAGCGTGAAGGTTATCTTTATCAATTGTGTTTCATGTGTGTGAAGAAGCGTGTGAATTTCTTGGGGTTAAAAATTGAAATACATTTTAGCTTTTTCTTTTGGGATTTCATAAAATAAATCCCCAGCTGCACCCCACAGCTGATTCTGTGTTTTATTTTTGAATTTTTGCCTCCTTTTGAGTGAACTTAACCCAGAGACATGCTGAATCATTGAAATGATTTTTCTGTTTAAAAAAATCTAGAGGTTTCACAAAATACAGTGAGACCCCCACATGCGGACACCTCAATCTGTGGACAATTTGACATAGGGAGACTTATTTTCCCAGAAAAAAATAATTAAAAAAACCCAACATGAGGACACTGACTCAACATAGGGACCTTTTGTGATAAAATTGCAAAAACATTTCAGACCAAATTGCAAGAAACAGATATTTCCAACCCAGAAATTGATGTAAAAAAAAGTTATTGGGCATTTCTCTCACCAATTTACCATCCACACTTAGCTAATTTTAGAAAATTACCTCCAGCATGGAGGGACTTCTACATTTTTTTCACTTGAATGTTATTTTTGTAGATACCAAAATTTCATTGTACAGCACAGATATACACTATTAAATGCTCCAAATGTTCTTATTGAGTTGAAAATGATTTCACTAATTCAAATTCACGTGGCAAACAATTTTTTCATGGAATTACGGTTAGTATTTTGTGCATGAAACACCAAAGAACAATTATATCATGTAAGTCTATGGGAAAACAAGACCCAACTTAGGGAAAATTCAACTTAGGGACACTCTTGATACACCAATTACGTCTGCATCTGGGGGTCTCATTGTACAGTACAATAAACCAATAAAAGATCAAAGGCAACAGCATTACAAAAATGTATTATTGAGTGAAGATCATTCAAACAATTCCGCATAATCATTTTGCCTAAGCAATTCCGATCATCACATTAGGATATAAAAGCCAGCCAATCATCGGTTTTTTGCATTTCGAAATTTTGTTATATTGTCCCTAATTAATTAGGAGATTCCATGTCTTCAGAGAAGAATAAACAAAAATCAGAATTGAGCGATTTTCGTTGCGTGTTGAAACACGAATTCGCTCAAATTCAAATTCCCTCAGAATGTTTTCCCAAAACCGGAATCATTTCCGGAAAAAATAATCAAACAAATCGAATAAAAAAAACGTGAGTTCAATTTCTCGCGAATAAGCAAATTTCCACAAGATTCAAGGTTTGCACGCGCAAGAAACGACCTATGAACCCTCTTTCTCTCGTTTTTTTATCTATTTAAAAAAAACAACCCCTGGCCTCATTTGCAAGTACATTAGCTGCAGAACCCAGAACCCCTTTCAAGTAGGTGTTTTTATGTCCATGAAAATAAAAAAAAAAAAAAAGGAGAGGATTAGGAAGTGTGGGTTGCTGTGTGACAACCGTGAGGCATTTGAGTTGTTTCCCCATAAAAATCATGCGAAGTGTCCTTGATGCGGAGTGCTTTTTTATTTATTTTATTTTAACCTTCCATTCCGTGTGAAAGCATAAGGACGAAAAAGCTTTATTTTTTTAACTTTCTGTTTCAGTACTGCGAATAAAAGTACTGAAAAATAAAATGTATAGCTGATGATGAGTCACCTGTTTCACTCGTTTTCCCCCCAACAACAGATTCGTGGGCTTTTCTCCTCCGAATGTTCCAGTCGCATGAAAAACAGGGATAAGTGCAAAAATTTCGAACTTTCTGCCTAAATAAAAAATTCAACAGAAAAACCGTTTCCCCTCCTCGTGTCTGCATGTGCAGGGGTTTTGCTGGCAGGTTTCCCTGGACCTGTCGAGGGGGGAAAGAAAACACACCAAGAAAAAAAATCCCCTTGATTTCCCAGGTCACATGGCGGTTTTCCAGAATTTTTTCCTGCCGACGGCCCGGGTATTTTTATTCGCTCTCCCAGCAGGAATATAAGCAGACTTGAACAGCTTCCAGAGCGTATTGCCCTTAAAACCGCACGTAAGAGGAATATTAAATGGCACACATGAGACGTCCTGCCGACGGCCCGGGTATTTTTATTCGCTCTCCCAGCAGGAATATAAGCAGACTTGAACAGCTTCCAGAGCGTATTGCCCTTAAAACCGCACGTAAGAGGAATATTAAATGGTTCACATGAGACGCATTTCAAACAAATATTTTTTTCCAGAAAGACTGAAGATTGTTTTGTACTGTACATGTACAAGAAAATGGGAACAATTTCGGGGCCTTTGACCTCGATTCCATGGGCACTGTTATGACTGCGAGGATATTACAAAAAAAGTAGTAGTACTCTCCAAGTTGAATTTCAAGGGACCAACACAGCAAATTTGACTTGAAGAAGCCTTGAGTTTGGGAAACAAGAATCACATTCAAATGCTCAGGATACCTTGACAAATCTTATTTCTGAATTTACATCTCATTGGGTCATTTAATTTGAATGCCCTCCACAGCAAAGAGCATTTCAATAACCAGGATAGTCTCTTTGCAAAAAATCAGTTCACCTGATCTTGGAATTGGGTACTTTTGTTGAAAGGTTGATACAAAACTACAAGAAACAGTTCGACCCTTTTACTTGGCCAAGTAATAATAAATATAATGTATTCTGTACTATAAATTGTTTTTAATGCGATAGAAATAGCCATCAATTGAGTATCAAATTTTTTTTTTTGCTTTCTCTTCTATAAAACAGACTCAATGGCCTAAAAATTCTGCAAAAAATCCTGTTCTATGTATTTTTGAAGCCCAAAAATGAATTTAATTCCGCTAAAATATCCCTAGTTTAGTGCCATAAATGTGCCAGGGCGAAATATGGCAATGATTCAGGGTTTGACTGTACTTGAGAAATATCCTTTTTTCAAGTTTTACACACTTCTCATTGCAAAAAAAAGTTATTTAAAAATTGACCTAATGAGCACCCTTATCCATGTCCTGTATTTGAAAGCAAAGGATTCAACAAAGCCATATATTTTATATTTTTTTAGGAAAGTGATGATAAACACTTTTGAACGCAAAATCAGCTGAGGTTTCCAGAAGCATCCGCAGAAATTGCACGATTTTCTGGCAAGCATTATCGCCACTCGCCATTTTCTTTTAGCTAAAAATAAATTTATTTTTTTTCTTTCAAAAGATTTTGAAATTGAAGACAGCAAGAAAGAGAAACAAACGGCAGTTTCCTTGCTTGCGATCTATTTCTGCTCTCTCTCGTGCAAAAAAAAAGAAAAAAAAGAGGCAAAAGAAATAATAATCGTCAATTGGCGCAGTCGAGTTGGCAGTACAGGAAAAAGGGGGTGATGGGAACCGGTTCCTACCCGGAAGTTCAGGGCTTGTGTTGTGACGGTGAATTCATCTTGACGACACTGTCGCGTGGCGTCGTGTCGACGAACGTGACAGCTGAAAGCTCTCACTTTCTACCGGGTTTTCATTTTTATTATTTTCATCTGTGCTCTCTCTCGCAAAAGCATGGAAATATAGGTCCCCCTTTTCTTCTCGAGCCCACGAGATGGTCAGAAATTTATTTCCCGACGCGAAAATCTTAGAAGACTTTCATATGCCTCTTTTTTTCCCTGTGGCATGTAAGACTGTCTGAACTCTGAAGTTATCTTGGTGGACATAAAAACCACTAGGTGGCACTGCATGTGTCGACAAATAAAAATCCACGATAGAAAAAATGATGGTGAAAATGATGCCGTTGTAATCAATGTTTTCCTTGATCGCAGCAATTTATTCATATATAGGGACAACGAAGTAAAGACTTCATTGTTCTAGAGTAATTTTCCCCTATATAAACTCAGTATAACTCGATTTAACTCTTGATAATGTGTACATGGGACATGCCAATTTTTACAAATTGGCACAATATGGGAAAACCAAACATGTGCATGATGGAAAAACTTGAAAAAAAAATTTTTTTTACAGAGAATTATGATAGGGAGAATATTGCTCTTCCAACAACTTCATGCTCTACTAAGTCTACTTTATGCTGGAGCATACAGTTCTGAGTAAATGCTCTTCTCATACATGTATTTTCTGCTTGTTTCAGCTCATATTTTTGAAGAAAAAAAGTTATATTTTTAGAAAATACAGTGAACCCTTGATTTATTACCCCCCAATTTAGTGCCACCCTTGCATAGTTCCACAAATCTCCTTCCATTGTATTGTTACAGGAAACCCTGATATAGTACCAACTAACTTAGTGCCACAAACATTTTCCTGTCCTTCATGAGAGATAGGCCAAAATCAGAGAAATTGAGGCATATTTCCACAGATATAATTAGGTTATTACTGAGAATCACATTCCCATGCTCAGTATACCTTGAAAATTATATTTATGAATTCAAATGTAATTAGGTCATTTAATTTGAATTTCCTCCACAGCAAAGAGCATTTCAATAGGCAGGATAGTCTTAGTGAAAATTTTGTTCACCTGATCTTGGAATTGGGTGCTTCTGTTGAATGGTTGATACAAAACTACAAAAAACAGTAATTCCACTCTTCTACTTGGCCCAAAAAATCTACTGCATGGTGTACTGTAAAAAAAAATTAAATGCAGTAAAAACAAACATTTGAGCCTCAATTCATTTGGTTTGGCTTTCTCTTCTACCAAACAAACCCACATTCTGCATAAAGTCTTTTTTACCTATACAGGTGGTACCTTGCAATTTGACCCTAATCTGTTGCCGAACTTGGGTCAGATTGCAAATTGGTCAAATTGCAAGACACTCCATGAAATTTAAAAATATAAGTCTCAAAATATTCAAAAAAGTGGCCTAAGCGGGTTGAATTGTGGGGCAAGGGTCAAATTGCAAGTCAACCTCCCTGCAAATTCCATCATCGAATTGTGGTATGGTCGGATTGCAGGAGGTTGAATTGCAAGGTACCACCTGTATTAAAAGCCTTCAGATGAATTTTGTTTTCTACAATACTCTCAATTCAGTCATTTAGTGCCACCCCAGCCAAGTGCCACCAAATGTGCCAGGACAAACAATTGAAACTGAATGGGAGTTTGACTGTACAAGAATGTTCAAAAATTAGAAAAAACCCTAGAAGTTACACAACAGAGAGTCTTGTGTGTTTAATACTCCTTCTATACACAAAATAATCTTGGTATAACAAATAATGGTACTTTCCTGTTATCTCAGTATCCATTTTTCTTTGTCTCGTGAATTCAGTATTTGTGCAATGAAAAATTAGTTAATTGCATTAGTTGAAGAGAAAAGAAACTAAATCACTATCATCCAGACAAATAACTTAACTTCACGTAACCGCCTCCCAAAATCAGTTTCAGCAGAAAAATGAAATTCACAGTTTCTGGTAGGTGCACAGAAAGTAGGTACTGAGATAACAGGAAATTATCCAAATAATTGCTTACAACAAAATCATTTTTGTTGGGTTTCCTGCCCAATAGCCACAAAGTTAAAAAAGTAACTTTTCAACCAATTTTCCGTTACAACAAAGCTATTTTAAGGGTTAAATGTCTGCATTGTGAAGATGAGATTCTAGTGTACCATGTTCTTTAATTTGTCCAGCATCTAATGTAGCACCCATTTAAACAACAAAAAAATAAAGCGAGAAGACTGTGACGAAGGAACCCATCGCTGGGAATGCAACGCAAGAGTGAAGTCCTCATCTACATATTTTTGTTTTTGTTCCCCTCGAGATTTTGGATGACAAAAAACCAACTCGCATCCGAGATTAGGAAACATGCTGATGACAGGTCCACAAAAACCGTGACGTGTCATTGAAGGTCAGTCATTTTACACTTCAAAATACGAGACGAGTCCAAGAAAGAAAGAAAAATCCTCTCTATAGACATTGTAAGCAAGCCGAAAAGAACTCTTGTCAAGCCGCGTGTTGAAATTCGGTCGTCTCAAAGGGTTAACTGGAAATGTTTTCAAAGAATTTTATGGTAATGGTACTCTGAAGGGAAATGCAAGCGAGGAACCATGAAGTTGAAGCAATAAAGCCCCTCAACCATAGGAAGAAAACATGTGTTTAACCATGAAAGGTATAACAAGCGCCATAATCTCCGGGATTGCATAAGTATGGAAAGCAGGCTTTAGCTGTAAGACCCATTAAGAGCTTCAGGCTTTTAGAAAAATAGTACTTGAATAAGAAAATAGACAAGAGTCTTCAAAAGACTGCTGGAACTGTGGTGGTATTTACTCTGGTAACACTCATAAATTTCAACACAAACTGGGAGGAAAAATACTTGAGTACAAACTTTGAATGAACATATTTTTTATGCACTTTTTAAACTTTTTCAGAGCAAAATTTTTAAAAGCACTGCAGCCAGAATGAAAATAATAATCATAAAAATGTATATCAAGCTTTTATAGTTTCTGAATACTTGTACAGTGAGACCCCCACATGTGGACACCTCAACATGCAGACAATTCAAGATGGAGACACTTTATAACTACAGTCAAACCCCGTTAAACCGCCCCCCAATAAACTGCCACCCTCACCTCCCGCCATATTTTTACCCCAAACAAATCTCCCCAATGTTAAAAGGATGGGGAAACCTGGATAGACCGCCAACCGCCATCCGCCAACAATTTTCTGGCCTCAAATAGGCACTTGTCCTTGTTTTTCTACCCCTTTAAACCGCCAATTTGGAGAGAGATTCAATTTTTCTTAATTTTTTTTGTCCTGTAGTAAGTTTGTAGTGAACCACTACCCTCGATAGACCGCCACCCTCGTTAAACCGCCAAAATCTTGCTGCACAGATGTTGGCGGTTTAACGGGGTTTGACTGTATAATAAATGCATAAAAAAGGCCCAACATGCAGACACGGACTCAACATGTGGACATGGGTGTGCTAAAATTGCAAATACGCTTCAGGCCAAATTACAAGAAACAGATATTTCCAACCCTAAGATCTCTGTAAAAAAAAAAGTTCTTTGACATTTCTCTAATCATTTTTCCAATTTATTTAGCAAATTAAAAAAAAAAATACCTCCAGCATAGAGGGAATCCCTTTTCTATTTTTGACTTGAACCTTTTTTTCATAGAGAATGACAACATTTCAATGTTCTGTACAGAGGTGTAGTTATCAATGCTCCAAATGTCCTCATCGAGTTGAAAGATATTGATTGAATCAGTTTCAATTGGCAGACAATTTTTTTTCATGCGATTATGATGAATATTTCTTTCATGAAGCACCGATTAAAAATTATACCAATGTAAGTCTAAGGGAAAACAAGACTCAACTTAGGGACACTCTTGATGCACCAACTATGTCCACATCTTGGGGTTTTGCTGCAAAACCTAGTAAATTCTCTTTGTAAAGAGCTGGAAAGTGTTGAATGGATGTGTGTGCCTGGGGGGATCCGGAAATTTTTTCAAACCTCATAAATGCTGCTTGCATATCAATCAATCGAGTGCTGCATTAAAAATTTTTGCAATGTGAATTTTCAGCAGATCAATTCATACTGCTTTTCAGAAATTTTATTTTTCAAGATTTTACCGGCGTCCCTGAGTTTGGAGTCGCCGTGAAGACAGAGGGCGGCGAGGGCGCACGAGAAGGAGTCGTCGTCGGGCCTGATGGTGGACAAAAGGGCGGACTCGTCCGACTCTTCATACTCGATACCGCCGCCCTCGGGCTTCTTGCCGCCGCTTCTTGCCGCCGCCACTGCTGGTGAGCTGGGGGTCGGGACGCGACGACGCCGGCGCCACGCGCTCCTTTTTCAACAGCTTCTTCTCGTCGCCCGTGCTGCTGCTGCCGCCCCCCGCAGCCGCCGCCGCCGCAGACGTCGTCGCCGCTTTGCCGCCCTTCACTTTCGCCGACATGGTCTTTTTCTTTTTATGTATAAAAATATCTACTTGGATTTTTTTTTTGGTGGCACTAATTCGTTTGCTGCTTCTGGACACAACGCGATCAACGAATATTAAGCGCGTAGGAAAATGTATGATCCTTCTTTATTATTTTTTTTAATTATTCACTGTCGGAACACGCGTTTAAAACACTCGGTTTTTAGTTGAGCAAAAATTCCGTCAAAATTTCATTTTCATCGGTATTTCGCGGAAACATTTTGGCTCGTTGAAACGATACCTCCGAAACAATTTGAAACCTCCGTCGGTCATAAGAAAAAGAGGTTTGATATCGGAAAATAATTGACCTGAACACATTCTTTGAAATATGTATATTGGGTGCAGAAATAAAAGGAAGCAATTCGAAAAAAAGAAGAAGGCTTCAGTATATATCAAGATATTGCATTCATCGGCGTGCATCATCTTTTTAAAAGCTGTTGAAATGTTTTAGAAACTGTCCTAAAAAAGTTGAAATAATCTCTTTTTTATGTAATTCGCATAGATTTTCAAGGACGAAATCACCAGCCTTTTGTAGGAAATTAAGTTTAAGAAATTCAAGATCCATAAAAAAACATGGTTTTCTGCTTTGAAAATAAAAACATTGTAGAAATGTCATTATTACAATTATCGAAACTTAGCAAATTGTCACAGATCATTTCGCAACGTACGTTGAAGCTTCACAACTGAAGATAAAATATGATTCCGAAAAAAATACATGTTCTCCAATTTTCTGTAATCTTTGTCGATAAAACTCAAATGCTAGTATTTATTTTCAACAGCTGAGAAAGCGTTTTTAAATTGGCAATCGGGTGGATAATTGGCAGGACTTGTTTTCACAGGAAGAAAGTGCTTCTTTTTCTGGAATTTTCTTTCGAAATTCTATTTTTTTTCTCGACTTATAAATAACACAAACGAGGCTGACTAATTTTGGCACAGCGAACAGAGGAACTTCGGGGTCGCGTGTTCCGAAAATAAGCATCGCACTTGTCATCATCCATCACAATAAAATCCCAGTGTTTTCCCCAAATTAAAATTTTTTTTTTCCTGATTATTAGATTCTTATGTAGAGGCATTGAGGCAATATATTCTTGTCCATTTTATGCCTGCGATAAGTTTTATCTTCGTTGAAAAGGTAACGTCACAATCGTCGCTTCATCCTACGGAAGCAAACGGATTTATAGATCTGGCAATCTATAGATAAGCATGCTTCGAAAAGTTCAAAATTATTTTAATAAAAAGAATAAAATGCCATCGAGTCCATCAAAGAAAAATAAAGCAAGTTAGCTGAAGGGTTCTGCACGCGATACACGAATCAAGAACGAAATCGTTTCGAAGAATTTCAATCACGACGAAAAACTTCGTAGTTTGAATTTTTTTAAACACTGTAAATCAAATTTCACGCAAAATTCGTGAGAATGTTATTTTTCCCGACACTATTTCCGATGTTTTCTCACTGTTTTGTATTTGTTGAAAAAATTATGCCCTTGACACACGCAAAAGCAGAATGAAAAGTTTAGGATTGCGTGAGAAGTCACAATTGAAACACGAAACGATGAGCGCCGTAATTTGCATAAATAGCCAACATTCTAGGGATTATGAAATCGCTTGAAATTTTGTTTTGCGATTAAACTTGAATTATGACGACACTTTCGGAAAATCTGACCTCACAATCTCCACACGATTCTCAGAAGAAGTCCGTCATTATTTTTCCGTGTATCATATTCATACGTTACAAAATCAATTTGCAGAAAATAAGGCAAATTTTAAACAAGTCACAGACGTCGTGGTAACGAATCCAGGTTTCAATTTTCGAATGATAAAAAACATACGTTTTTGACAGCTTCGAGATATAATGAAATTTGCACTGAGCGATTTAATTTACGATCTTTACGCAATATGTTAAAAGTATGCTAGAACGGACCACGTCTTGAGAAATTTTAATTCTTTTTCAAGTTTTCGTCAGAAATGCTATAGCGCCAAGCACGTCATAGTAACAAGGGTTCCAGGTTTATAATTAAACAATTTATATTTTGAATATTTTCCGAGAATTTCTGCACAGTAATCCTTTTGAAACTTCAGTATTGCTTCAATTTTTCTCCATAAAAAAATTTTTTTTTTAAGGAATCCCAATGAAATGAGAAATTGAATCAAATGATTTTATCTCTACTTTCATCCGTAATCATGTTTGACAAATCTATTCAAATTGAAAATGAGGAACAAATTTAAGTTGTAAACACCACAGCCGGATTTTTAAAAATGTTCGGAAATTTTTATTTTCCATATTGCGTTGAAGAGATTATTAAAAATTTGAAAAATCGCGAAGCATACATTAGATTTCGTAATTTTTCAGCTGCAACCAGGAAGGAAAAAATTTTAAAAATCAGAATGGTTCTTGCGTCTTCTGCTGGCGATAGTCCCCAATATTTTCATTCGTAAATTAAGCCCGATTCCGACAAAAGTCGTCTCATTACAGCAAACTCGACACGACTCAAGACCTAAAAAACTTGCACTAAAAATATAAATGTGCGACAGAAGTTCACTTCCAACAGTTCCTAGTCTAACCCGTGTCCGAGGGGAGTTTCCCAGTACCGCACCCATCAGTTCGCACCGCACGAAAACTTTTTTTCTTTTCCTTCTTTCCCCCAGCAGCGAATCACACGCACTGATGATGAGAAGCACTCGTTTTCAATTTTTGTTTTATTGTTCATAAATATACAAACACACGTTCATACGTAATATCTTTGTTCTTATATTTTCTGTTTCTGTGCCCACGGACGGATTAGGTTCTGCTCGTAATCGATCTGTACTGCGTCGCACACACGGTGACTCACGGCGAATTAAACATGCATGTACAGACCGGGACACGGAATCGAGCTGCTCTTTGGCATCCTTTTCGTAATACTACGCCGTCGACACGAACAACCGCTTTAAATAATTTCTTACGAATCTTCCGCCGTGTTCGACTCGCCAATAAAGCCACTTGTATAGAAATGGATTTCTGAGGACTCAAGTTGTCACATATCTTTCTTGATTGAAGGATCCTTTATGAAACCCCATGGTAAAATAATTTCTTGAAATAACTAGTGTATTGAGGGTTTAGATGAGGAAATAACTATGACTTGTAAGTGATCCTGAATGAGTTGTATTATGCAAAATCCTATATGTTGATTGATTTGATTTTAGGTGGAATAAAGAATTCATGACCCTAAAAAGAAGATTAATTTGGCAAGTTATAAACATAAAATGCTTTAATTTTCAACAAGAAAAGTGTAAAAATGCATGACAGAAAATCATCAAACAGTCCAAATGCTTCTCTAGCTTTTAGAAAATTAAATGGAATGTTCTGGGGGTTTTTAAAGCATTTCTAGAGATTCACAGATGAAACTTATAATTCTCCCCAGTTCAACTTGAAAAAAAAAATCAGTAAAACGAATCATCATGACTTTTGAGTGGCCCATCGATTGAAACACCAACGGTTAATCAAAAAGTATCCAGGGATTCACGAATTATTCTCTGATGAAACTCAGTCCACAATCTTTCCAACAATCTGCAACCCAATTCCCAAGTTGGAAAATGCCAAATATTTTTTACAGGCATTGCAAAAACCGAGAGAGCGCGAAAATCCTGCGACTTTCCTCCACGTTGCACAAAAGTCCTAATTAATGTACATAATGACGTGCCTCATCGTCATGAAAATAATTTTTCCCATGTAAAACATTCACGTTTCATCAGCATTGCCCACAAGAATCCCATTCACCCCTTAGAAAAAAAAGACACTCGGTTCCTTTTTTCAATAAAACTAGCTGAGAACTAGTCTTTAATGTGCAAAAGGGAATAAATTACATGCAGCAGATCAATTTCATTTTCGAAGAAGCAAGTGTGAAAGAGGGATGGGATAAAAAGCGACCCATTTGAAGGAGAAAAAATAAATAAAATAAAATTAGTGGAACCCATCAGATGGGATCCATGGAAGATGCTGACATTTTTCCAACGGCAATTAACGCGGTCCTTGAAGCGATCCAACCAGTCTAATTATTTATTTGTTTCATTCGATGTCAGTCCCCTTGGATCTAATAAAGGTCCGGGTTCGGATTCAATGGTCGAATAATCTTGACAACACGGCATCGGATCCTATCCATCAGCTATCATCAGCAGGTGCCCTTCTGGGTAACACAGGACCTCATAAACTAATGAAGTGTCCACCCATAAAATGCCTCTCTTCTTCCAGGCGGGTGTGGTTTCTTTCTTTTGTACTGTATATACAGAAATACAATTTAAAAACCTTCTTATTGATGTTGTGCGTGGGCGATTTTCCAAAATAAAAATTGTCAAAAAGCCAAAAAGTAGTTCCTATATATGGTACCATCTGTGAGCAAATCCAAATTTTTGATAACAAGAGATTTTTGTCTCAATGCTGAATGTTGTTATAAAAAACTCTGCCATGAAAACTTTTTCTGCATGATATATGGATGAACAGATCACTTTATTTGCCCCTTTTCAGCATTCACAAGGTTCAATCAAGATTTCCACAAGCAAATCCCCTTCCCACCCAACCCAAATCCACTCAGTGACATTTTGATCACTTCAGAGCAGGAAAGCACAAATATCTGATCAGTTTTCAACTTTTTCAGTACAAAAAGTGTTCTTGTTACATTTGTTTTTACAAATTTCTCCATTATAATTAAGTATAATGTACACNACAACTGGACATCTGACATGTATGCATACACCCATTCATTCCCTGACATTGGTGACTAAATACTGTATTTACTCAAGTACCACAATTCACCTTTTTCTCAAATTTCATAAGAAAAAAAAGGGGTGCGCGTCATAAGTGGGTACACATTTTTCAAGAAGTTTTAGAAAGTTATGTGTACATTATACTTAATTATAATGGAGAAATTTGTAAAAACAAATGTAACAAGAACACTTTTTGTACTGAAAAAGTTGAAAACTGATCAGATTTTTGTTCAATGCAT